CGGTAATATAAAGCTGAAGTGTGGAGGAAGTGATGATTGCACACATTAAAAGTACCTTCTCTACCACGGCCGGGGTCCGGCATTGGGGATAGTTTAATCGAATATGAGATGAAAAAATATAATTCTTCAATTAATTCTAAACTACATAATAATGAAAATGATGAACGAATAGGCCTAATTAAAATAGCGAAAGGTCCAACGATTAATCTCAGATAAGATACTGTAGTATAATACCAAGTGCACGCCATCGTGTCGGGATTAAATATTTCGACATTAATTATGTCATCATCAGGAATGAGGACATAATCATGACTTGAAGTATGTATTATACTATCTAACTAAAAGCATTCCTGATGATGACATAATTAATGTCGGAATATTGAATCCCAACACGATGGCGTGCATTTTAATACTTGGAGTATATGTATTATACTTTCTTATCTGAGATTAATCAGTGGACCTTTCGGATGATGACATAATAATGTCGAATTATTGAATCCCGACACGATGGCGTGCATTTCGATACTTGAAGTATGTATTATACTATCTAATTAAAATAAAGTTTCTTTAAAGTTAAAATCATCATAAATTATTAGTGTCTTACGATATTTAACAGTTTTTCATTCTTAATATTTGTAGATAATTCTAGAATGTTTTTTTAGCTAATTATTTTATTTCTATTGATAATATTTTTGCTGTATTTTTGGTCTGCAATTCTACTCTGCATTGAAAAAATCTGGACTGCACTGAATTTCCGCTTTAACTATTATAAGTTGCCCATTTAGCGTTTCATACATGGCAAGGAATAAATCCGGTCGAGTAGCGGCGCTATACGATCTTTGGTCGAACTTCCATTCGCTAAAACATCTATGGCTAGGGTCTAGCCTAGGCCTAGAAACAGAAAAAGATGATGATGGGTTTGGCAGGTACCGATTGTAAGCAAAATTTATTTGTTTATTATTAGTTTGACTAATGACTATCGATAGAGATCGAGTTAATTAATTAAGCTGTATTACTTTTTACTTCAGATTTTTGTTTCCTTTCTTTCCGTGTGTGCGCTGGTAGCACACTGAGGTCCCTCAACAATCAATGATTCTCCACCTTAAGTTAAGCCTAGCCTAGGGGCCTATACTTTATATTAAATCAATATCTCTCTTATTCAGAAGAAAATACACACCGGCGGCTAGGCCTAGGCGAATAGGAGGAGGAGTAGCATAATTCAAAAAAATTAGTCAAAATCAGCATGAAACGACATGAAATTAGGATAGGCCTAGGACACTGCAGATATTTTTTGTGCCCCTTCTAGGCCTATATTTTTTAGCTCCCAATCACATTATGATTAGGCCTAGTGTGGCTAGAGTAGTAAAAGTTGACGCAGAGCAAAGAAATAAGGATCTAAAGAAATTTAATTACAATAAATTAACACTCAAAGGAGTCTACTATTGTCATTGCCTATTCTATGATAACTTCTCATACCTATAGTGAAAGGCATTTATTTATTACCCATTCTGTAGCCTAGCTGAAGAGAAAGCTCATAGCATGTCAACAATGTACAGTAATTGATGATAGAGGGCAGCAGGCTTAGGCGAAGAGTTGAACAATATTCCTTATATTTTCAAACAAAATTTTATTTCAGAAATGTGTGTAGCATCTGCAGTGTCTCCCATTCAACATGCTTGAAGGAATTGGTGTGTTTGGTACAGGCTCCCTAGCACGAATCACCATAGCAGCCCTCAAATCTGTAGGTTTAAAGGTGGTTGCATTATGGGGCCCCACTCAAGTGAAAGCCAAGGAAATTGCGTCAATGTTTGACATAACCTTCTACACTGATAAAATTGATGATGTTTTACTCCATCAAGAAGTGGACCTTGTGTGTATTACTAGCCCACCGCATTTACATGCCCAAGTCGCCTCGAAGGCATTGAGCATCGGCAAACATGTGTTGTGTGGTAATCCTGCCGGACTGAACGAGCATGATGCTCTGAAAATGGTAGAAGCGGCCCGTTATTACCCACTGCTTTCCCTCATGAGCCATGGATTGCGATTTGTTCCTGCGTTTATGGAGATGAAGAAGAGCATTGAGAAGGGTCAAGTCGGAGAGGTCAATCTTTGTGATGTACGAGTAGCTTGCGGTTCATTAGTTAAGGAGAAGTTCAATTGGATGTGTGATGAGAATATGGGAGGGGGTGTGCTGAATACGATTGGTTCGCATATCATTGATATAATTACATTTTTAACAGGTCAAAAAGCTGTCAAAGTTCGAGGTATGATGAAGACATTCGTTACGCAGACCGAAAGAATAAATGGAATACGGCATATAACTAGTGATGATTTTTGCTGCTTTCAAATGGAATTGAGTAATGGGGGATGTGCAACAGTCACGCTTAACACACATGTTCCTGGCCATTTTTCTCAAGAGGTGCTTATAGTAGGGTCAAAAGGTCGTCTTAGAGTTGAAGGTGCTGACCTGTATGGTCAATTAAGTGGTAGCAAAACAGAATCCTTGATGATTAGCGATACACTGCGTATAAACCACCAGCCAGGTGGAATAACCGGTAGTTCAGATTTGCCATTGCCGTATTTAAAGGGTTTATTTAAACTGATTGATTCTGTCAAAGAGTCGTTTGAGCGCAGTCAAGAGAGGCGGGATTGGGACCATGAACCTGTTGCCATGGCAGCTAATTTTGAGGATGCTCTGTATGTCCAGTATGTGATTGATGCCATTCGGCAGTCCAGCCATTCAGGGAATTGGGAGAGAATTGTCATTAAGAACAAGGAAGCAAGTGAAAATCCATTCTTACAACCTGGTGGATTATGATATAAGATTCTGACTATAGGTGCTTCAGCGTATTAATTGCAGTATATGTATAAGTATTTACCAACTGTTGTTCCTTCCAAAGAATTAGAACCAAGAATCTTGTATCTCTTTGATTATTCTTTCTAAAATGTGTGTACTGTAAAACACTTTAAGACATTTTTTTACTAAAAAGGAAAATGGTTTAAAATGTAAAGTTATGATGTCTGCTTCATAGTAACTGTATAGGTGTAGTTTTTAATAATAATCTGTGATTGAAAATTATAACAATATATTTTAACATGCATTTCATATAGCTATTTAAAGGCAATCCAGAGTGTTTATAATCAGCCAAACCCCTGCTGTTTGTGCAAGCTTCCCTCCTATATACCACCAACCCATCCAGATCACCAATTCCCCTTGCTTCAAAAATCCTTCACCATTATGCTGGAATAACTTAGCTCCATGGATCTCGCCCCCCCCCCCAACACCACCCAACCTCAACAAGAGCATTTGTCCTTGACCCTGCCAGGCTACCTACAGTAGGTGCCCCATGACCTAACAGGGTGTATTGCTAAATACATGGTTTTTTTTCTCAAAAGAATATAGATAACGGTACAATCTTAATAATAATTATCTTTATTTTAACACCTTGTGCTCTACTAGTTGGTAAGGGGATTAGACTGTTCTCTCTTTAGAAAATGGTTAGGAAGGTGGGGGGAGAGGGTCACAGGAAGATAAACAGAAAATTATTTTATTTACAATTGTTCAACAATAGAAATTAATCCGCTTTATTTTAACACCAGAGTAAAAAATAAAAATAAAACTAATCCTACAGTAATGTAGGTCTTCAATTTTTATTAATCTGTGTATTATTAACTATTGTAATTTTCTTTCCCTCCTGTGTAAATAATCCAGTTAAATACAGTAATGTATACTGCATTGTGGTACTTTTTAATCTTAATTTTATAAATATTGTATTTTATTTCCTCTTTTTTTTGTATTTTTTATTACTGTAATTACTGAGGTGCACATGTAATATTAATGCTACAGTATAAAGTAGATCATTGTTTTATTTGGAATTTAAAAAAAATTGTATTTCTATCTTATATCTCCTGATGAGTTATGGAGCCAGGATTGCCCAACTGTCCAAAGCAAATTAAGCGTAATCAGGGTAAACTCTGCCAATGTAGTGATGATAATAAATTTTAAAATTATTGAAATGGGTGCTGATGGGGTGGGGGAGCGTGGAGGTGGATTGGTTAGCTAGATGATCAAGTGAGGGGTGGTGCGTGAGCTTATTCTTGTTTCTGTTTTGGTGGGGGAGGTTGGGGTAGAGGCAGCCCTAGGTAGTCAAATCGAGAGTTGCCAGAGATGGGGCTGAAGTGATCTAGACTCTCCATCTGTAAAATTCCCTCCCGAGCCCCATCTATTTTGAATTCCTGAATCCGCCATTGATACTTTAAGGTTTGAGTGTTTTTGACCATTTTTTCTCATTGAGATAATTTTATACTCTCCTTTTAAAATGCTCCACCAAATTGATCGTTTAGAGTAAGCATTGTAGGATTTACTTGATTTTTACCAACCATTTTCGATGTTTGAAGCAAAGAAATTGGTAAAGTAGGAGATGAACCCATAACTTGCAGTGTCATTGTGCTGAATTGTGTATGGGTGTGGTCCGTAACTACCTAGCCGCCATAAAGTGGCGCTTATATTAGCTACATGTTTACATCATTCCCCAACGACATTGTTGTAACCCCTACTCTACCGAAAGCATTGGGTCTTCGAAGTGCACACATGGCAGATGTATACACTGGACCTTCATTTTTAAGTACTTATCTGAGTAGAAATAAAATTGGTTCTACCAACCAAACCCGGGGCAAGGCGTGACTCAAACCAGTACCGATGTTAAGGCTGTAGTTAGCGGCGACCCTGCCTTTTGACTCGCCCAAAAAATTTGAAAATTTTGGATGGGAGATTTCGAGATGAGCTTCTTTTTTAGGCTACTTTTACAAAGTATAGAGGGAGCTTCTTTTCAAAATGAATGGTGTAAATTTTGGGAATTAGTCCTATAAAACAGTAAAGAGCCACTGTAACATCAATATCATGGAGTGTATTAACTGGCATTTAATTACCTAATTTACTGTATAAACCAAGCATGTTTAATTTTTTTTCTTTTTTTTTTAACTTCACAGTGTACTGTGATTTCGAAAAGAAGCCTATGCTATCTTGAAAGGAAACCTGTGGCCTTCTTTTTTAGGCTAATTTTGCAAACTAAAAGGGATCTTCAATTCGAGATGGGCGGCTTCTCGAAATTAAGCCCATTGGGCCTCAATTCAAGGTTTTACTGTACTTTAATAGATACATGTATGTTTGACTGCAAATAAGATCTGGAGTTTTTCGTCACGATACCACGTGATACTACTCAGTTGCTATCGGCGACACAAAATGAGGTCAACCGACGCCATTTTCTCCACGGACAAAAACCATTGATCCCAATTTTTAACGTATAAGAAGTTGTACAGTATCTTAATTTTTCCTTGTAAATGTTAATTGATGATTAAATATGTGTTCGATAACTAATATAATGTGGGCTTTTGTGTTTTTAGTACATTTTGATGGTAAATTGTTAGGTTTTAAAATGCCTCTTCCAGATAGCCTATTATAAACCATTAAGATTATGAAGTCATTCAAGCGTAATGAATGGTAACCAACGTCCAGAGGGCGCCACCTGGTTTTGTGACGACATGACTATGGTACTCTGTCTTTGATTAATCTGCAATACTGTACTTGTTTTGATATTAAAAAGAAAAGAGAGAGCTAAAAAAAACAAGACTGTTTGATCCTTCATTGATAGCACATGAATTATGAAGTAACAATATACTGTATTTTTTTTCTGTTTACAGTTATGATGATCTGTATAGTAATTGTATTTTTCATTAAAAATTATTGTTACAAATTAGGTAATTAATTCTATTGTAGCTCTTCCTTTTATCTATCAAACTGCAAATATAAAGAATATTATATATTGTAAGACTTAGTGCCAACAACTACTGCATGTTACGGGACAACATGTTTTTAATTAGTGTACCCAAAATATAGCTGAAGGGGGACACCTTGTTAGTATCGTTCCTAAAGGTGCCCTCATGTGAGGTTATAATAATAATAATAATATTTATTTGGCAATCATCGAGTACAATTTAAGCCCGGAGTGAGAATAGGCACAAGCCCAAACAGATACTGCACTCACTCCACCTTATACAAAAATGAACTGAGGTTGTATTGTATTTGATTGCTTTGTATCGTTTTGTGTAAAAATGGAGGACATTTCTGCTAATCACCCCTTCACCCGGAACAATTGTATAATTATTAGATTAAATGTATGATATGATGTACAGTAATTAGACAATTCTATATATCTGTAATATATATATATACTGTATACTGTATATATATATATATATATATATAAATATAATATAACTCGTCAAAGGTACATATACAGTGTTTAAATAAGGACATGATGGATCATATATAAATAATGTAATGTATATATATATCTCACGTTAAATAATTGTTATAATATTATGTAATTAATTGCAGTTTATTAAAAATGAAGTATAAATAAATGCAAATAATGAAAGTTCATGATTGTATACTTTACCTGAGGTGTGGTGTGTTAACTAATTTGTTTAATTGTGAAAAAGTTGTCCAGAAAACGAGTTTATTATAGAGTTACTGGTGGAGCGCCATCTAGTGTTCGCCTTTCCATACAACGCCTAGGATCCTTTTATCTCTTTATGATGAAGTATATTGGATAATCAGTATGAAAAATAAATGAATGTAATAGAAACAAGTTACATTTTAATACTTCTATTTCCTCATACAGTAACTTTTTTTTTTAATAAATTAGTTTTTATTATTATTTTATTATTATTATTAGCAATATCTGTAACAAGATTGCAGGCTACGTATATATTATCATAAATACCAAACTAGTGAACAAGATCACAATGATGAATTAACACATTTATAAAGGGGACATATGCAAACGAAAACATTTAACAAAGAGCTTACAAAAACGAGAATGAATCCTATCAATACTATTATATTTTACAGCATAACTTACACAACGATAAATGATTTATAATTAGCAACTGCGATCATTTGTGATAGTTTCAATTAAGAAATAAGGAACTTAGGTGTTCTATTTGAAAACAATTTGTCTACTACCGAGTAATTGTTTGATAGTTTTGTTATCTCACAGACTTTCAAAATGAGAAAATAGACCTACATATATACAATATAGGCCTACATAATATATATATATAACATCAATAGAAAATAACTAGCTTTATTTTAACACCAGAGTAAAAAATAAATGTAAAACTAATCCTAATGTAGGTCTTGCAATTTTTTATTAATCTGTGTATTATTAACTACAGTAATGTAATTTTCTTTCCCTCCTGTGTAAATAATCCAAGTTAAATAATGTATACTGCATTGTGGTACTTTTTAATCTTTATTTTATAAATATTGTATTTTATTTCCTCTTTTTTTTTGTATTTTTTATTAATTACTGAGGTGCCCATGTAATATTAATGCTACAGTATAAAGTAGTTCATTGTTTTATTTGGAATTTTTTTCTCCTGAAGAGTTATGGAGCCACGATTGCCCAACCGAAAGTCCAAAGCAAATTAAGCGTAATTAGGGTAAACTCTTGCAATGAAGTGATGATAATAAATTTTAGAATTATTGAAATGGGTGCTGATTGGGTAGGGGAGCGTGGAGGTGGATTAATTAGCGTGATGAACAAGTGAGGGGGCACTGGGTCGCAAAATAAGTTGGTAGGTGGTTTTTAACTACTTGATCATGAATTTTGCTTCAGATATTTTCAGTGGGTAAGTGACTGGTGATGCGCGAGCTTATTCTTGTTTTTGTTTTGGTGGGGGTAGAGGCAGCCCTAGGTAGTCAAATCGAGAGTTGCCAGGGATGGGGCTGAAGTGATCTAGACTCTCCATCTGTAAAATTCCCTCCCGAGCCCCATCTATTTTGAATTCCTGAATCCGCCATTTATACGGTTTGAGTGTTTTAACCATTTTTTCTTATTGAGATAATTTTATACTCTCCTTTTAAAATGCTCCACCAAATTGATCGTTTAGAGTAAGCATTGTAGGATTTACTTGATTTTTACCAAACATTTATGATGTTTGAAGC